CCACAGATCCTGTGATTTTTCACTGTGGTTGGGGTTCTGAGTCCAGCGATTCAGTTGAGGGCATCGCCAAAGAAACCTTTCCAAAGTGACCCCAGCCTGACTCCTGTGTGTGACAGCCAGTGCAGGGCCTGGTTCAGTCTATCACCAACATCAGCCTACACACAAAATGTTGGTTGCAGTTACTGGGTCAGTTCTGTCCCCAGCCCCACCTCATACACAAACCAATGGATGTTGCAGCCTAGCCCAACTCTACCCAACGCACACTTGGCCCTCTCGCACATCAGCAGGAAATGCAGCCCAGTCGGAGCTACCCCCAGACTTGAGTCAAAGTAGTCTACTTACATTTATCACAATGAAGAAATCTTTTTTTCTGTTTCAGGTTTAAGTCTGTGGGGCTGAACTACTTTAAGGGAAATTAGACAGTTATCAAGGCAAAAAAGACATCAGTTCAAGACCATATTAAATATTATTCTGAATTATTGAAGTTAGTGACTGATTCACTGTAGAGAATTCCTGATTATCAAAGGATAGGAAAGTACTCAAAAAAATTGGGGAAAATAAAAAATAGTAAAATTATGTGATTTTCCACTTTTACCTGTATATAAAAACTAACTAGTTTGAATATTGGTAGCATTTATAGTTCTAGTGTTGTTGGGACTTAGTATATATGCTGCCATCTGGGACACTGGATTAGTTGGATTTTCAGAGCTATTTTTTTTTTTAATGAAAAACCGGACTGGGATATATAGTCATTCAGAAGATCTTAAAAATCTTCTGTAAGAGTAAATTAAAAAATGTGAAATACTAAGAGCAGAGAGAGCATATATTAGGTACTAATTAATTGCTGCTTATTTTATAAAAATAAGTTTGTGCATTTATTTGTAAGACTATGTTCCTCTTTTGTTGTTTTTAACATTCAGTGTTAAGATTTTGTTTGCATTGTTCAGTTTGTCATAAAAGCATGATTTATAATGATTCTATGGTATATCATATTATGCCTTGTTTATGCTGTATTTTCTCTTTAATCCTAGCTGTTTTCCGACTTTTTATTTAATGTGTCAGTAGCATGAATAATGGAGAACAACTTGTCAACACCAAGCAGATTTTCAGATCAAAGTATGAGAAATTTAAAACTAAGTGTTTAATCATTCAAAGTCATACTTGAGTACTAAAAATCAAATATGATGTTACTTTTAGTCTACTTGAAAGGAGAATAAGAGACAGAAATCTTCTATCTGTTGCTTTACTCCCCAAATGCCCAGAATACTCAAGGCTGCTCAGGCTGGAGCCAGGAGCCTGGAACTCAGGCCAGATTTCCCAGATGCCTGGCAGGAATCCTAAACTGGAGCCATCCGCTTCTTCCCAGGTGTATAGCTGTGAGGCAGAAGAGCCAGAATTCAGTCGGGCACTCCAGTAGGCATGTGGATGATGGCTTACCCTGCTCTGATACCCACCCCTGTTACTTCATTTAGAAACAGTTTAACCTTTAGCTGATATGTAGCTGTGGAGACACACCTTTGAATGGATTTTGAGGTGCAAATGTCTGAATGTCTAAGAAAAAGGTGAGCAGATACTTCATCTTACTGTCCTCACAGAAGATCCAGAAATGCCCTTTAAATAACTGTGAACAACATTTAAGCCAGTTAGAATTTGAATAATGAGAATTAAGATGTAATTTCAATATGTACAACATGAAGAATTCATATGTAAACTATAAAGAGCTCTTTCAAGTCAATTAAGGGAAAAGCAAGTCTTCCTTGTCCCCTTCCCTGCTATAAAATGGACAAATGATACTAATTATGTAAAAAATTCACCATCAGGGCCGGTGTTGTAACACAGCCACTGCCTGTGACCTTGGCATTCCATTTAGGTTCAAGTCCCAGCTGCTCCACTTCCAGTCCAGCTCCCTCCTAACGGCCTGATAAGACTAAAGGAAGATGGCCCAGGTGTTTGGGTGTCTGCCACCCACATAGGAGATCCAGACCAAAGTCCTGGTTCCTGGCTTTGGCCTGGCCCAGCCATAGCTGTTTGGTCATAGTGGGAGTAAACCAATGGATGATGTCTGTGTTTCTCCCTCTCTGTAACTCTGACCTTTCAAATAAATAAATCTTTAAAAACAAAAATAAAGAGGAGGAAAATCATCTTCACTTATGCTCAACTACAGAAGTTAGAGATGAGATGGTTTTTAGTCTGTAAAAATAAGCAGACATTAAAAGCAAATTTAATGGTCAGTGCTAAAGTTTTTTATATAGATCTGGCAAAAAAAAAAAGTGAGGAGTGAAATATCTTACTGTTCAGTTTGAAATTATGAAAGTCTTGAGAAATCTTTCCTGTTCTTTTGGCCAGGATTTTCATCTAACCCAGAAATTTACCCTAAAGGTGTGTTTACCTATATGTACAATTGTTTACGTAAGATGTCCATAGTGACTTTTTGGGGAAAAAAAGTTGGAAATTGTTTGTTCTGTGGTGCATTTATTTTGTAATGTACCCATGTTGCAGAAATGCTATGCAGCTATACAAATGACATAATCAATAAAAGAGTTAAAGGATAAATACTAGAGATCTGATATGAAGTAAAAAACAGAAAATATGAAGCACTCAGTACAGTCTGTTTCTGGTTAGAAATGTGTGTTTTTGGAGGAAAATACCCGGATAGAAGAGTATTTATTAGATTAACAGTTGTTAGCACTGGGTGATTGAACTCTGTTTTTCTTTGTTCAGTGCAAACTTTTAATTTTACATTAAGGAAGATAGTAGTAGTTAAAAATTATTTTCAGGGTAAAAATGTAATGGACATACTCAATTTTCCTGGGTCGCCACATTTCTGGATTATATTTAAATAGCTTCTTAAGCCTATTAAATGGTTGTAAGGAAAAGTAAAATGAAGGGTGGGTATGTTAGCGTCCTCAGTATGCCATTTCCACCCAGTTCTGTAAAACAGACATCGATGATTAAGGTGATGTGGGGGTCAGTATCTGGTGAGAGAGAGGGCTCTCTGTCTGTCTCTCTCTCTCTCTCTCTCACACACACACACAATTATATTTTCATTTTGGGAAAGGAAAAACCAGAAGAAACACAAGGGCTGATCAGAGCTTTGTAAATATATGGGACAGGTACCATAACTTTCTATTTGTAAATTGGTAAATTAATTCTACATTTATCTTCTAAAAACATCATCATTCTTATTTTGCATACCACTTCATATTGCTGAAAATTTATAGGTTATTGATTACAGATTATAATAGAAATTTAATTTTTTATAACATGGGTGTAGGGTCTTCTATTTTCCCAAAAGCATCAGAGGGGAGCTGGATCAGAAGCAGGGAATCTGTGGGACTTCAACCATCAGGATCCTGGCATTGCAGGCAGCAGGTTAAATCTGTTACATCTCAGGAGACATGGATTTTAGAAAAGGGAAGGAGAGGCAGGCATTTAGCTTAGCACTTACGGTGCCCGTTTTCCATATTGGAGAATCTGGATTTGATTCCTTGCTATAGCCACTGATTCCACTGTTGTACTAATTCAGACCATGGAGGGCAGCAGTGATGGTAGAGTGAACTGGGTTCCTGCCACCAGTGTGGGATACCTGGATTGTGGAACTGGATCCAGTCCTAACCATTATGGGCATATAGGGAATGAGCCAGCAGGTTGGAGCTAGTTTGCATATACTCAGTTGCTCTCCCACACACTCTGCCCTTCAAATTAAGAAAAAAGGTTAGTTATGAGACACAATATGTAAAAGAAAAGTGGGATTTGGGGGAAAAAACTTAAAATACAAGAGTAATAGAAAAATACTAAAGTGTTTTTAAGAAAAAAATAGTGGCAAGTAGAAAATAAAAATTATAGCTACTGTTTTCTGAGCTTATACAAGATAGGGCAGGGATCTTCTCATTTTATCCACAGGACTGTGAGGCGGACCCCTGCCACCACCACTTCCTGTCCCATATTACAGGTGCGCTCACTGAATAAGCTGGCAAGAAGTACTCTGACTTTCAAAGCAGGGCTTCCCCTGGGCTTTTGACTCACATTTCCTGTCTTTTCTAAGCATCACTGTTGTGTTATTTAATTTTTCCCCTTAAGTTGTGCAGATGAGCAGAAAGTAAAACAGAGAAACACAAATTTAACATTAAGTTCTTTATCAGGTGACAAGATTATTCATTCAAGGAAACTAGTGATAAGTAACTAGAGGCCTTAATCCACTTGTCCACCTTCTTCTGTACAAGGTCTTTCACAGAAACCTCCCTAATTGAAGTATGGGCTAGCCACATTTAATGCCTGACAACAGGACTGTATGTAAGATTTTTTTTTTGCATGCTGAACCTTTAGACATGAGCAGATAACTATTAATGCATATTTTACCTGTTATTATAGTATCTTGCTAGAAAATCAGGTTATTTCCTGTATTATATAATCGGGCTTTAGTAGATAGGCCTTGGGAAAAAGGGAAAAAATAAAGGCTATAGTTTCCTTTCCTGAATAAATCAGAAGCAGAACGTTTATGATTTGAACTGGTGCACACGGATGGCAGTGTACAGCCTGCTGCTAGAACCAGCCCCTTTGAGTTTTTATTTATTTTTATTTTAAAGATTTACTTATTTTTATTACAAAATCAGATATACAGAGAGGAGAAGAGACAGGAAAATCTTCCTGTCTGATGATTCACTCCCCAAGTGAGTGCAGTGGTCGGTGCTGTGCCAATCCAAAGCCAGGAGCCAGGAACTTCCTTTGGGTCTCCCATATGGGTACAGGGTCCCCAGGCTTTGGGCTGTCCTCGACTGCTTTCCCAGGCCACAAACAGGGAGCTGGATGGGAAGCGGAGCTGCTGGGATTAGAACTGGCGCCCATATGGGATCCTGGGATTGTTCAAGGTGAGGACTTTAGCCACTAGGCCACCGCGCCAGGCCCTGAGTTTAAGCCAGTTGTAAGTATGCTTCAATCTAGAGAAATAAAAGACAATGTTAAATCTCTTCTTTCCTTTTTCTCCATCCTGTTGTCTTAAGGCTCCTGTTCCAAAGAGTACACTTATTCCAGTAATTCCCATCGCCAAATCAACAGGTTCCCGGTTCCGGAACAGTGTGGAAGGATTGAACCAGGAGATAGAAATAATAATTAAAGAGACTGGGGAAAAGGAAGAACAGCTAATAGTAAGTAATCTCACCTTAAAATCAGCTTCACACATGAACTCTAATTCACAATTCTGCTTTCCATATTTACTTAGGTTTCTTCCTTCTGGTTAAAAGAAAATGAAAATTTAACTGTCTTGAAAAACTTTGACCTTGGCAAGTGATTGAAAAGCTTTCATCCCTTTGCATCTCAGTGAAGCAGCTGTTCTAACATGTACTCAGCTCTTAGACAGAAATTCTTTGCTTTAAAAAAAGTTACTCTAGGTGGTGTATTTCTCATTTGCTATGACTACGTGTAACAGAGCTGGCTTGTGCATTTTGATGGGAGGGAAATTGTATGATACCAGACATCTTGTAACCATGAGTCTACTTGTTCCTCGTTGTTTGTCAGTTACTCATGGTTTTACTTGACATGCCAGGCTGTATAATCATGAAATGCATTTAGAAATTATCTTCAGTCTATCCCTCCTCCTAATTTGAATATGCATAACAGTGATTCCCATTAAAACAATGAGAAAAACTACTTCAGGCTTGAAAGACTCAGAGTACATTTATTTAAGCCTCCATTCACTGAGGGAGGAATTAGGGAGTTTGAAGTGGTATTTTACTGATGTGTAAGATCCTTCTCCTCAAGATAAAAGCTTGAATTAGCTTAGAGAAGACATAGCTCCCCAGCACTGTTTCTTCTGCACCATGGAGTGAGCATGGTACGTACATCAAGGTGTGCAGGGAGCTGGTTCCCCTGCTAAGTGAGCCTCACAGGCATTGCTCGATTTCCGCGTAGCACTGCTGTGATTCACCTTTCTCTCCTTTTAGGTTTCTTTTAAACTTTCAGTGATAGTGGGCAGAATACAAAGTCTTCGCTTGGTCTTCACTCCCACACAAAGAGGAATCAGTTTAGACAGCGGTATGTCAGTAATAAGCACAAAGACCTCGTAGGTATAGAGCAATTTCTAATTTGTGAGGCCCTGGCACTACAGGGGAAGGTTGACTGGGTGCATTGTTGGTGAATTTTGAAATCAGTGGTGAGTAGATTGATGTTTGAAACATCTCTTACAGCCACAAGACATTCCAGATGGGCACCGTGCCCCTCCCCCACTGGTGCAGAGAAGTAGCAGCACCCGGAGCATCGACACCCAGACTCCCGGCGGGGCGGACAAGGGGAGCAACAACAGCAGCCGCTCTCAGTCGGTGTCCCCCACGTCATTCCTCACCATTTCTAACGAAGGCAGTGAGGAGAGTCCTTGTTCAGCTGATGACCTGCTTGTTGATCCCAGGGATAAAGGTACTGTGCTGGGGTTGTTCTCAGAAGAATGACTGCCACCTATTGTATCGTTCATTCTGGCAGAAGTGGGCTGCTAGGGTAATGTGTTAGAAACATAGGTTTACAAAAATTGGAGTACAGAATAGTAGGTTTTACTGTGAAACTCAGGTGGTGGTCTAGTTGGGTGGATTTATGGGCTTTTATTTCCATATTTTTTGCACTTGTTAATACAGCTTCCTTATTAAAAACATTTTTTTATAAATGATGTGCATATTTGTACTGCAAAACATTTTGTGTGTGTTTTTTTAAGTCTTGTTTAAAAGTATCTTATTACCTTAATATTTAACTGAACACAAAGACTTCAAGTTAGTGTTTTTGGGGATCTATTTCTGAGATTTCTGATAGGATTTATTGATTTGCATTGATACAAGACTACTGTTCATAGGAAACCTGATGTAAAAGATGGGCATTTATGTACCTTATTAACCTTTATTTCTGATTTGTGGAGCTGGGTTCAGCAGTCATCTATTTAGAATCTTATCTGTGGATCAGCTGAGTGTCCAAGAATGCCCCATTGTGGTGATGACTGATACTGTAATCTCCTAAATCACTGAAATAATGAAGTTGTTGAAGTCACTACAGATTTTGAGCAGCTGTAAACAGCAGACCTTTTGTTTTTTTCCTAAAAAAAAGATGTATTGATTTATTTGAAAGGTCAAGCAATAAAGAAAGGGACAGAGAGAAAAGAACCCTTCTAGCCATTGGTTGGCTTCCCAGCTTGCCATAACAGCTGGAGCTGAGGTAGGCTCAGGCCAGGAACTAGAGCTCCTACAAGGGGACCCAAGTGGTTGGGCCAGTGTCCATTGCTTTCCAGGCACATTGACAGGGAACTGGATCAGAAACAGGGCAGCAGGAACTCAAGCCAGAGCCCCTGTGGGATGCTGCATTATGGACAACAGCTTCACGCTCTGCACCACAGTGCTGGCTCCTCCCTGCCTTCCCTGTCCTCTTCTCTTCCCTCTCTCCTTCCTTTGTTGTCAGATGAAACATGGCTACTAAAAATCTCTCTTGGTTTCCCATTCCTTATACTTGTTAGAACTTACACTGTTAGAACTCAGTAGATTTTGTGGACTGCTGCATATGACTTTAGGAGATGAGTGACTGGCTGGCCTCTATTAATGTACGTTGTAAGAAAATTGAACATAGCGCTGCTGGCAGTAAAGAATTTGTCGCTTGATATAACTGAAAATCTAGGATAGTTATATAACATAACAAGAATTTTAGGTTAATATAGTGTAAACTGATGACATCAGTGTTGAACCAAAGTATTAAAATAAATGTTCCTTGAGTAGAGTTCATTTGGAAACATTTTGGAAGTATCAGGCTTTGAAGAAGTTTAAGAAAATCAGAATTATCCTCCCCCACACTCCCTTGAGTAAGGGGAGATTCATAAAGTGAATTCTTTGGTATACAGGGCTCTGACTACTTGGAGCATAGATTATAACCAGAGGAACAAATTCCAAGCCAAGCGTTCATTGTAAGTAATGAAGAACCATTTCAACCCTTGTACTGAAGTGAAGGATGACTGTGTGTGCTTGTGCTGCAGCTGGTTAAGCTGCCACCTGCACCTCCAACATCCCATCTGAGTGCTGGGGTCTCCACTGTCTATCCAGCTCCCTGTTAGTGCATCTGGCAAAGCAGCAGAAGGCGGCTCAAGTACTTGGGCCCTTACCACCCACGTAGGAAACTTAGCTGCACAGGGGACTGGGCTCCTGGCGTCAGCCTGGGTCAGCCCTGTTTGTTGGCCATCTGAAGAGTAAATGAAAGCATGGAAGACAGACCGACCTACATGCTTACCTACCTCTTCCTCCCTCCATCTCTCTTCCTCTCCTTGTATGTAGCACTGCCTTCCAAATAAACCTTAAAAACAAAAAATAAAAATGAGACAGCCGCTAGATCATTGTTCAGTACGAGGATTAAGTGAGGTAATGATAATTTTAAGTGAAAAAGAATTTAAAAATATTTTGTTCACATGACTTATTTAACAAAGACGTGTTACCTCCTCTTTACCAAGAATTGTGTTAGCTGTTGGAGGATGTTGAATAAAACAATCTTCCTGCCCTCAAATAATTCTTGGGAAGAGGCCAGGAACAGTTAAATATAGTGTGATTGATGTGGAGGAGTGTTTCTTAGTAATCCAGTGTATTATTTCTTGCAGAGAATGGGAACAACTCTCCTTTGCCTAAATATGCAACCTCACCCAAACCTAACAACAGTTACATGTTCAAAAGGGAGCCTCCTGAAGGTTGCGAAAGGGTCAAAGTCTTTGAAGAATGCTCGTAAGTATCCCTCCCCCACCCAAGGAAACGTGTGAATTTTAAAATAAGCTGGAACCATAATGTAGTATCACCCTTTAGGTTGCCACTCTGATTACATTGTTAGCATTTTTTCACTACTGCTAAAAGTTAACCATAGTACTCCTGGGTAACCACAACGCTATTGTCATACCTAAGAAAATCCAAACTAAGTACAGTATCTACTAATACCCAGTTGTTATTAAATTTCCTCACCTGTCCCCGTAGTATCCCTGTGGCTGTCATTTTTGAACATTGTCTTATCAGGGTCACATGTTGATTTCCACAGTGTGTTTGCTGAAGATGGGCCTCAGAGCCTAATCTGTGTGCGCTCGGGCAAGAATCATTTCCCCTTCAGCCTCTGCTTTTGGTCTCCAGTTTTTCAAATCACTTATTTAGTTATTTATTTTGATTTAGATTTAAATTGTATCTTTGTTTTTAAGAGGTTCAATATAGTTCATAAATATAGTTCTAAAAATAATGTTTCCTTCCCCCCAGCCTCCTTTTTAATTGACTTAAAAATTATATTTTTTCTTTAAATATAGGGACCATTTCCATTACTTTATATAACTGTTAAAGTATCTGGTGCTGTTAGGATGTGATCTTCTGTACTCACATTTTTCCATTGGCTAGTACTCTCTAATCAGCACTCAGTGTAGACTCTCAGTTCACTCAGACTCTACCCAGCTTGTTTTCAACAACAATAGCTCCCAGCTTTACAAGCAATAACCGCAAGGTTGGAGCTATGTGTAAGATAGAGCAAATTAAGGGATGAACAGTGGTAATAGTGTTTTCAGTGCAACCTACGGTGGTTAGAAATGTAAGACCCATGTTTATGACTGCTTCTTACTATGAAACCTAAGATAGAAATGGATATTGTCCAGCCTGCTCTCTAGGTCACACAGTTTGTCTTCTTCCACTGTCAGCATTTTGAAGAGAATTCAGGGATGGCAGCCTCTGGCAGCCTCTTGTTTTTCCTTCATGTCTTATCAGTTTTTCTTTAACCTAAATTCTGCATAATCTTACCACACAAAGAACATTGTCTTTGAATCTCTTCAGCTTCTCTTCTAGCTATCTTTTCACTGTTGGTCTCTCCTCTGCTTCAGTTGAAAGCTCCTGTTTAAGCAACTGCTTATTTTAGTTTTGTTCACCATGTCAGCCTGTAAGTTTCTGCTGGTGCCACCTAGCGCAAACTTCGAGCCCGTATTTCTGTGAGTTTGTTCCCTGGACCGTTGGCATCGTAATCAACTGGGAAAGTGATTGCAAGTGCAGATTCCCTGGCATCACTCCAGGCCTGGTGAATGATTTGATAGGGAGATCAATCCTGGGTTCCACACCTTTAACAAATACCTCATGAAAGTCTTAGGCTTAATTTTAAAATGTAACTTAGGTCTTTTCATGATTGTTTTTAAGAAATGGGATCATTCTGTGAAGTGAAAATCAGTTGGTTCAATGGACCCTTTATCGAGCTTTGATCTTCTCATTGGCAGGTGACATTTACCTAGGTATAAAGTCATGCAGTCATTTGATTGACTCAAAGCAATTTGAATTAAGTAGTTTTGTTACATGGATTGGTGTCCTGCAGTCTGGCTTACACTGCTGAATTTAGATAATTTCTCAGGACTAAATCTGAGCTATCTACTTCACATTAGTTGTGTCTAAAAGAAGGGAAGGTAAGACAGGCATGTGTATGAACAGATACAGGTAAAAGGAACATAAGGTAAGCCTTAACACATTTTATGGCACATTGGTGTATTAGAAGACAAACTATTCTTTTTTAATACAATGTTTATTATAAATTATGCTGGTGTATAAAATGTTAACACAGAAGCCTATTAATGTTTTAATTATATTCTAAAATTAATTAACAGGAGTAGTACCCTTAAAGTTGTTCTTAGTGGTAACTATAGCCCTCTGTCAATAAAACAAATTGCTTAAAATCATAAAAATATTAGTTTCTCTTTTAGCCCTACTGTGACAAAATTGGAGCAAAAGCCACTGGACATACTGGCATTAATAGAACGGAAGCTCTTGGTCCTAACTTAAAATTTTTGTTGTTTAATCATCACTTTTTTTAAGATTTGTTTATTTGAAAGGGAGAGTTATGGAGGAAAAAGAGAAACACACAGAGAGATCTTTTATCTGATCTTTTACCCAGTGGTTGACCCTCCCAAATGACCACAACGGGCAGATCGTTGTTGGTCTGAAGCGAGGAACAAGAGGCTTCTTCCAGGTCTCCCACATGGATGCAGAGGCCTAAGCATTTGTGCCCTTCTCCATTGTTTCCCTAGGCATGTTAGCAGGGAGCCATATCCAGTAGTCAAAGGACTTGATCTGGTGCCCCCCTTGGGAAGCTGGTGCACGATATAGTTTAGGCTGCTATGCTGTGGCACCTGCCCTGTTTAATCATCTTTTATTTTTCTATGTCTTTTGATTTGAAGAAATAACTTTGACCTGGGCCACCGGGGGGGGGGGGGGGGGCGATGGGAGGGAAGGGCAATCTATTGTTTTCTCAAGATGAACTATTTACCTGAGAGAAGGAGGAGTAGTTAGGTTTAAACTCAGGAAGGACAACACCAGATTTTGTGCTTCAGTCTTTGTGTTCTTTTTGATGATAGCACACAACATAGCCGTATGATCTGTACTTGGTTAAGTCCTTTGTAATGACACCTTGATCCCAGGTGATGAGCTCCTTGACCTTAAATTCCTGGTTTTTAAGGCCTTTTTTGCAATATTGGGATTTTGTTGGTAGTAGTATATTTCTTTTGAGACATAGTCCTTCAGAATAACTGCATAAAGAAGACAAAAGTATTAGCTAGTTCTCAGGAATTTTTTTTCCCTCTTTGTATGTATGGTTCTTAATTTGGAGAATACTTTGAGGTGATTAACTGTACAGAATACTTCGAAGGGCCAGATACTGTTGTTCTTGGGTAGTATGTTCCTAGAAGCCAGCTGTGAAAGATTAGGAGAGTGACTCTTCTAGGTCAGCTAGGATAGAAACTGTAAGAGGACACAGGGGCAGTTTTTGGCGTTACTTACTTCTGGTGTTCTGTTTCTTGCTCCTGGTCATTACTCAGCCTATTACTGTTTACATTACTGTGCATGTGGTATGTTACTAGTCTTTCATAAAAACAGCAAGGAAATTTAGCAGTTTCTAGAATCCCGTCATTGGAAAATGTTTTCCATATCAAGAATTTTATTGTAATGAGAGAGTTTCTTTGTGTTCAAGAAATGTCATACCATCCTGAAAATCTATTAGCCAGTTTCTAGAGTCATTTTTTTGTAAGATAACCTCAAATGAATTCATTATTGCATTAAAAACACACCCTTTGGGTGTATAAGAATTTGAGTTTTTGTCTCCCTAATATAAAAACATTAAGAAATAAGAAAAGAGAGAGAAGGGTCGGAGGGTGGGGGAAGGATGAAAAGTATCATAAAACTATATATATGAAATACAATTTGTTCAAGAAAAAAAAAAAGAAATACAATTTGTTCCCTTTATAAAAAAAATAGAATTAAAAAAGAAAAATTGTCTCCAGTAAATCTATCTAAAAAGGAAAATTCATGCATTGTTTATAGAAAATAACCTCAGCTTCCTATCTTTTCTAAGGAGTGGAAAACCATCCTGTTGGATGATAAAAATAGACATGTATTCCTCTCTCAGTTGTCTACCTGCATGTACTCATGGCTCCACAAGTCCTTGGCCTGTTAAGTTCCCATTGTATTCAAGAAAGAATACGGGACAAGGAAAACATAACTCAAAGATGCTCTTTTCCTTTGTTCTTAAATAGTTGTGTTTGCCAAAGCTGTCCATGGGTAGTGTTTACATTAATAAAAGCTGGCAGCCGGAGCACTGTCTGCATGCAAGGTGTCCTTTTGCTGCCCACTCCTTGAGTCTGTTGTTACTCAGCCTTCAACTTGGTTCACAGATTGGTGTCTTGGGGTAGCCACTTTCTCTTAGATTCTTCCTCTTATGCCAGATTACCCACTCCCTGCTGCTGCCTCTGAACCTCTCACAAAGCTTTGTCATCACAACCAGAACCCTTATCCTCTGTTATGCCCTGGTCAGGTCTGGCAGCCTGGTAAAGCGTATGGATCTTAAATGCATAGAATAGGTATGATTACAGAAGAGACAAATTCTATCGAAAGGTATTCCACCAGGTAACCCCCTATAAGAGTTACAGAGTCGGTCCATCTCCCCATTGTGGTTTATTTCATCTTTGTACCTCAGAGTCTAGTATGGACATGGCACATTTAGATTTTACCAGAATTGTTACTGAGAGAGATGAGAACAATAATTTTTTCTTGTCATATGTTCATATAAGCTAAGTCTTGATTTATTCAGGTTTTCCTATCTTAACTTAATTTAGTGTCTCCCTCATGTGACTGAACAATTTGTATCTCCCTCATGTGACTGAACAATCTTATCTTGATTTTCCATTTACATTACGTTACTCAGCTGTCATGGTTAGAGTTGGTTCAAAGAGACTTTCAAGAGCCCTAAAGAAAACCCACACCTACACACCTACCCATTTAGTCATGTAATGGTAGAATTTAGCAGAAGGCGGACATCGTATATCCTTGATTTCTTTGTCTTCTTTCAGAATAGCACACACCGTGATAGTGGAACATATTTTTGTCTTTAAGTATCTAGATTTTCTTTTGTTTTAGGAAGTTTCAATTCCTATTGGCTGTCTTAGATCTCAACTCTGATTCACTTGTGTGGTACTGGGATTCTTGAGGGAACTGAATGCTGCAACAGGGAGTGGTGCCCTGCACTTGGAGATACTTATTTTTTTCTATAGTATGTGTTTTTTATTCCTTTTATGTTTCTGTAAGTTACCTGTTTTTAAAAATAAAAGCGTGTTTCCAATGTTGAGTGATTTAAAAGTATGGGGTTGTCTGTTCTATGTTTAGGCCAAAACAACTTCACGAAATCCCAGCTTTTTACTGTCCTGACAAAAACAAGGTGAATTTCATTCCTAAAAGTGGCTCAGCTTTCTGCCTCGTCAGCATCCTCAAGCCACTCCTCCCCACACCGGATCTTACCCTCAAGGGCTCTGGCCACAGCCTGACAGTCACCACTGGCATGACCACCACTCTGCTTCAGCCTATCGCTGTGGCCTCCCTATCCACAAACACAGAGCAAGACCGGGTCTCTCGAGGAACAAGTACGGTTCTGCCATCCGCACCTCTGCTGTCCCCACCAGAACCCATCGAGGAAGCTGAAGGGTAGGACTCGGTGCCAGGTGGCCGTTTGATCTGGAAACTGAACCTCCTCAGAAGGCTTGACTGATGGGATAGTGAGCGCCCAGTCAGCAGTGACGTGACGGTGAGGCTCCTGGAAGAAAAGCAGCCCCTCTGACAGCTCTGTCCCACCCATGAAGGCCAACCCTCAGCGCTCAGCCTGAGCTTCCACAAAATCAAACAAGAGTGTCTCATCCTTTACTTTTGGAGGGACAGTGTCACATTGTTTTTTTGTTTTCAAATTCGACTTCTTGGAGAAAAAGAAAATATAAACCCACAGAACCTGATCTCTGTTAACATGATTTCTGAAGGGAGAGGTGAATGATGCTGCAAGAACCATCTTTTATATGAAAACGACTATTTTATAATACCAATGTTACATTTTCTGAAACGTAGCAAACAAGACATGCAAACGATTCCTTGGTGGCCTCTGTTTCCTGTAACCCTTCCTACATGTGTGCAGCTTGGGACCAAAGGGATTGTTGACATTTCCCCCAGCAGTCTTCATCTCATGGCTGTGTTCTCCCAAACAAGAATTGATAGGTAAATGCATCAAACAAGTATATATTAAGAGTTTTAAAAAAGAAAAGCAATATTCGTACATTATGTGATTTATGTTTTTGATGTCAAAAGTTTGTGCTCTGGGTGAAATATTTGTAAAACTGCTATTTTCTTCATGACTCCTGTACACATTTCACTATGTGGCCAGAAAAATAATAGTCTGAAGACAAGTGCTTTAATATGTTCTCACCCATTTTGGAATTGGCCTAAGAGTCAATGAGCCAAAAAGGAAACTATCTAGTGTTGCTTGTTAGCTAGGAGTAAGGAGCCCTTCGGCCTTGTGTGAAGAAAATCACGTGATTGCCCTCCTGTGCCACAGGTATCCTTCCACCCTTCATCACTGTATCATAGCCCCAGAGATCCTACAATGGCTGTGCATGGATTTGCTCCTTCGCTTTCGTGATGTCTTTGTCTTGTGGATACGGTCGGTCAGGTTTAGTAGTTCGCCAGGAGTGTAATCCATTGAATAGTGATCCATAGCCAGAGACCTTGAAACTTTTTGTTGATGGTGATTGACACCAAAATTTCTTGCCTACAGGTTTTGCTAGTTACCCCGTTATAGTCCACACACTGGGGAAGAGAGAAAAGGTTTGGGGTATAAAACAACAGACACACTTGAAAACCCAGACAGTTTTGGATTTGGACTCTTGGCTAGTGCAAATCACTGCCATTATCTTGTGACAGTAGTGTTTGTTTCTGGATAGGTAGTAGTGAAATTAAGGAGTGGGTCTTATAAGAAATGAGTTTCAGAAGTGTTAATTTAAAAAGGCATCCTTTAAACACCATATTCTAACCTATGATGCAATAATTTGCTATACATATAATGGGCAGAAAAAAATTTTAAATCCTTGTAAAGGGACATGTTTTGGAGATTAATGCATCAACTTGTCCAAAAATATTCCATTAAGGAAAATTTAGTGGAAGAAAAATCTTTTGAAAGGACTTCTTATATTGATGCACCTTTAAAGCAGCAAAATAATTTTAAACATACCCTGTAAAATTAAAAATTGATGGTGTATTTAGGTAAATCAGGTAAATTCAAATATCAAAAATCCCATCAGGTTTTAGTTGGTAGGACTGATAAATTTTTGTACTTTTCCATCCAAAGCCAGTTTACTTGGAACTAGTTTAACATAGCATCTAAACTAGTTAAAAGCTCACTTACTTTGAGTCTGCAGTTTCTGATTGGTATTTGGAGAGCCTGGCTTCTTGGCCTTCTTTGCTCTACCTTCGGGAATTCCTACTTCACCTCCCAGTTTCTCCTTCGTCACCAGTACAGAAGAAAAAGTAAAACTGAGGTCAGGTGAGTTGGTGTGAGTGGAGAAGGTTGCTCAGAACCCAGGGCTTTTTGTTTGTTTTGTTTTGTTTCGATTACTTGAGTTCTGTTAAGTCAGGGTTGTATTCCTGACTGTGTGGGTTTCCTTTCCTTTGCTGACTCCATAGTCACCAGGATGTTTTAGAACTAGAATCCTGCTTTGGAAACAGATTTTCCCATTTTGTTTTGTTTTTGCATTTGTCAAATTTATGTATCTTTAAGCTAAAGTGATTTAAAATCAGAATGGATGAAAGAAAACTTGCAGACTTATTGTGTGCAATCTTGCAGTCTGATAGGTGGTTATAAGGAGAATGTGTGAACTTGTATGGCAACCAGATATATCCCTTGGGTTCAGAGAGATTGAGCCTGAGAATTGAGAAAATGAAAGGTACAAGGTACAACTTGGCCGGTGCCGAAGGGCTAAGTTCTAAGCGTATAAGCTTTACCATGGCCTTGAAAAGAGAGTAGTCATAGGTCCAGTGAGCAGTTTTACTGAACCCTTAGTCCCCAGATGTTTTTCTCAAGAGAATGCATAATATTTTCTAAAATTATACTCCATAATATTGCTATTCTGTAGAAAATTGTAAGGAGATAAAAAAAATTTAAATTTGTAAAAATTTTGAATAAAATTACTTTCATCACAATTTAAAAATACCGGCATGTATCTTGGCAAAAGGAGCTATTCTCTGGTTATTCACTTTGTCAATTTTACTTATATTTTACCCTTAAAACTGTTTCTTCCTTGTAGTGATACAACTTAAATAAATTAACTGTTTGTGATCATGACTAAGTCTATTACTTGTCATGGATTTTTGTGAACAATTACATTTTTTAAAATACCAGTTTTCCCTTTTTAGTTAAATATGAGCACAGATGCCAAATTATTTTCCAACTGAATTCCTCATTTTATTTTAAATGTTTATACTTATGACTGCAGACCAAATCAGTCTTTTAGAAGGTGCTGTTGCTAACTGTAGAGTGTCTGGCAACACGAAAAGCTTTTTTATTTTTTTTTTCTTTTCCGTTTTCATTTTTAGTGGTTGGCTTTCACTAGATAGTATTAAAAAAGGAGATTTATAGTCTTTATGTCTAAGATTAGGACTGGTTTGTCAAGATTTTCTACAGTTAAGGAAAATCTAAGTTGCCACTCTTAAACTTACTATTCTTAAATTAAAACTCATTCCTTAATGCTTAAAATTTTGACTTCTCAAAACCAGACCAATGGAAGCGCTGAATTTGCAAGTAAAGCTAAGGATATTTAACGCTGCACTTTAAGGTTTAAGTTTTACTCTAATTAATGAGAAGCAGAGCAGTCCTAAACAATATTTTGTTTATACAGTCCTGTTGAATATAATTTATGTTTTTTAACTGCATGTTTCATCTCTGTTGAAGTTGTATAAATCTTTTTTAAATGCAATTTTTTAAAATTTTGTTTTTCTAACAAAATTCTCCCAAAAAGCAGCATTTCTGATGGTGATAGATATTGTTACTATGTACTTATGTATTCCCTGTATCTGAACACGTGTTGCTGCCTCACAAGAATATAGAACTTTTATGTTACAAATAAAGTCTGTTCTTGGGTTTTTTTCTGTGTTTTTTGTTTGTTTCTTTTTACTATTTTATGACACAATTTAATAGGCACTGGGGTCTCCCTTCCTCCTCCCCACGTTCTCTCCCCTCCTCACTGTTCTCCAGTCTTAAAATGGATGTCTTTTGTGAATTTTCACAAGTCCTTCGAACAGCCACTGAGGTGTCTCCCAACAGTGTAGGAGATTATCAGCCATTTCGCTGTTGAGTCGGTCCATCCTTGTACTGCATGCGTGGGGACATACTTCTCTCTGCTTCCACTTATGAACATATTCATTTCCGCCACACTCTCATTATGCATTCCCTTAGGTACAGTCCACCCTGGGGAGAAAAAATGAACCTTCATCCCCATGAAGTTGGTGAACATGTACCAAAGGTGTCAATGTGATGCTAGGGTGGTGAAAAGGAGTGTCCAACATCTTCCTGTAGGAATAAATGCCAGCTGTGTCCCATGTGGTACTAGTGAAAATATAATAAGGACCAGATCCTTTGATACTTATGGGCAGTAGCAATAACAGGAATAATCTCAGGTGATTACAATCAGTCTCTTATGGATGATTGATTAATGAATTACATCACAAGATCTTATTATGAAAGGTACAATAACTAGGAAGTGCAATAAGGTAAAATTCACATGTAAAATCTTTAGATTTGACCTCATATTATATTACAGTAGGGCAGAAGTATGATATCTGACCTTTTGGGATTGGCTCCTTTCCCTTAGCATGGTGCCCATTTGGCCACAAACAATTGTATTTCATTATTTTTAATAGCTGAGTAGTATTCTATAGAGTAGATGAACGAGTTTCTTTATCCAGTCCTCTGTTAATGAGCATTTAGGTTGCTTCCATGTTTTTGTGATTTTTGGTTGTGCTGTATGAACATAGGGGTGCAGCTTGCTTTCTCATGTATTGTGTCTTTTGGATATATTCCTATAATGGTATTGCTGAGTCATATGGTAGGTGGGATTTTCAGTTTCCTAAGTATTCTTCCTTAGTGGTTGCACCAGCCTGCAATCCCACCAGCAGTGGAGTAGAGTTCCTTTTTTCCCGCAACCTCTCCAGCAGGTGGTGTTGGTAGTTTTCTGTGTGTGACCCGACCCATTCTTACTGGAGTTAAGTGGAACCTCAGTGTTGTTTTTATTTCTCTTATTGTCAGGGAGCTTGAGCATTTTTTTTATATGCCTATTCGCCATTTGGATTTGTTCCTCTGAAAAGTGCCCACTTCTCTTGCCCATTTCTTGACTGGTTTGTTTTGTTGTTATGGCTGTTCTGGAGTTCTTTGTATAATCTGGAAGTTAACTCCTTGTCTCCCTTGTAGTGTGCAAAGATCTTTTCCCATTCTGTAGGTTGCTGTTTTGCTTTGTTTATTATTTCCTTTGCTGTGCAGAAGCTTCTTAGCCTAATGTAGTCCTGTTTGTATATTTTGGTCTTGATTTCCTCTGCTTTTGGTGATTTTTCTAGGAAGTTAGTGCCTACACCTATATCTTGCAGAGTATTTCCAGCTTTTTCTTCCAGAAATTTGATAGCTTCTGGGTGTAGGTTTAAATCTTTTATCCACTTAGATTTGATCTTTGTGTATAGTGAAAGGTGCAGGTCCTGCTTCTTATTTCTGCAGGCTGTTAACCAGTTGTCCCAACAGCATTATTAAAGAGTCCTTCCTTTGTCCCTGGGTTGTTTTCTGTTTTCTTGTTGAAGGTCAGATAGCTGTGCATGTGTGGGTTCCCTTCTGGTGTTTCTGTTCTCCTTCTTTGGTCTTCCTCTGTTTTCATGCCAGTTTCAGTTTGTTTTGATAACTACTGCCCTATAGTATGTCCGAAGGTCTGGGATTGTGATTCTTCCCACTAGGTTCTTATTCTTCAGGATAGTTCTGGATATTGGTGGGGTTGTTTTGTGTGTGTGTATGTTTCCAGATGAGCTTTTTTGTCATTTTTTTCCAGCTCTGTGAAGAATGTTCTTGTTATTTTAATTGGAATCATGTTGAATGTAGTATATATTGCTTTTGATAATATGGGCGTTTTGATGATATTGACTCTGTCCATCCAGGAGCATGATATGTTTTTCTACTTTTTTGAGGTCATTTTGTATTTCTTTTCTTTGTTTTGTAGTTTGCCTCATAGAGATCTCGCAGGTATTTCATTTTCTTCTCTGTTATTTTGAAGGGTACAACGCTGGTTAGTTTTTTTTTCTGCCTTGGAGTTGTTTGCATACACTATGGCTGTTGATTTCTAATCATTTATTTTGTACCCTGCCAGTTTTTCCAAACTCGTGAAAGTTCCAGCACTTTATTGAGTCTCTTGGTTCTCCTATCTATAGGATCATATTATCTGCAAACACAGATAGCTTGACTTCCTCGTTTCCAATTTGAATTCCTTTGATTTCTTTTTCTTATCTAATAGCATTTGTGAGAACTTCCAATAATATGTTAAGAAGTAGTGGCAATAGTGGACAAACTTGTCTGGTTCCAGACCTTAGTGGGAAGGCTTCCAGTCTTTCCCTTTCAATATGATGCTGGCATTATATTCCTTTGATTATGTTGTGGATTGTTCTTCTATGCCTGCCTTATTTAGAGTTTTTAGCATGAAGTGATGCTGAATTTTATCAAAAGCTTTTTCTGAAAGCATCTATCATATAATTCTTATTCCTCAGATTTTTTACATGATGTATCACATTTATCAATTTACAAATGTTAAATCATTCCTGCATGCCAGGAATGAATCCCACCTAGTCCAGATGAATAATCTGATGTGTTTTTGTATTCTGTCAGCTGGTATTTTGTTGACGATCTTAGCATCTATTCATCAGGGATATCAGTCTGTAGTTTTCTTTCTCTGTTGATTCTCTATCTGATTTTGGTATCAAGGTGATGTTGGCCTCATAGAACAAGTTTGGAAGAATTGCCTCCCCTTCTATTGTTTTGAAGAGTTTAGGCAGGATTGGGATCAGCTCTGCTTGGAATGCTTTGTAGAATTCTGTGAAACCATCTAGACCCAGGCTTGCTTTGTTGGGAGGGCTTTCATTACTGATTTGATTTCTGTCTCCATTATAGGTTTGTTTAGGTTTTCTGTTGTTTCATGGCTAACCTTTGGTAGATGGTGGGAGTCCTATCCATTTCATGGAGGTCTTCCAATTTATTGGCAGATAGTTGTTTGCAGTAATTTCTAATTCTCTGCATGGCTGCAGTGTCTGTTATGTTTCCTTTTATCTTTGATGCTATTCTTGTTTTCTCTTGCTTTGGTAGGGGGTGGGGGATCAGTTGGGCCAGTGGGGTGTCTATTTTGTTTATTTTCTCAAAGAGCCAACTTTATGAATCATTGATTTTGTGTATTGTTCTTTTGCTTTCTATTTGGTTTCTTATTTTCATTAATTTTTTTCTGTTTTTGGCCTTATTTTGCTGTTTTTCTAGTTCCTTCAGGTGTATACTTAACTTGTTTATCTTGACATATGCACCAATTGCAATAACTTTACCTCTTAGTACTGCCTTGGTGGTATCCCACAAGTTTTGGGATGTTGTGTTTGAGTCTTCGTTGATTTAATGATTAGTCTCATATTCAAATTGCATTTCTCTTTAGATATTTCTGAGTTGAAAATACTTTTAAGTAGCATAAAGTTGAGTCAAATAGTCTATGGAAAGTGAAATTTTTAAAATGTTTATTTTTGTGTAAAAACATCCAGACCCATACATAGTTTCTTCTTAGTGTTTTCCTGTGAGCTTTCTGAAGACCCCTCCTATGTTATTTTTCAGAAATACATAGAAAAATCTTTTGTGTTAAGCACCAAGCTTCTCATCCCTTACTTGCTCTATTATGGAAAATAATTGATCTTTGTGGTTGTGTGATAAATGCTAAGCAAACAGAATCTAAGTAGCACAGTGAGCAATCTCTCTGTTTACAAGGAATATATAGTCCTTCACAGCTAGAGATGGTTTGGCTGATGTCATCACTTCATTTTAATGTACATAAGAGAATTATTTTTTCTCTTGTTAATTCTTGCTTACGAGCCATAGTCTTCCTGTCTGACATTCAGTGGCTTAGGTGCAGGACAGTTGTCCACATTGAAGGTTTCATTGAATCCACACCTCAGAGCTAGGTGTGGATCCCAAGGACATCTGTTCTGTCATTACTTAGAAAGGGAAAGACACATCTGAAGATGAGTAGAAAAGTAACCCCAGTAATTTGGTCCTCAAACTACTTTGTTAAATTTTAAAAAAGAAATCTGAAGGAAAAGGTTAACAAGAGTTTAAAGATGACTTCTGTGTGTCTGCGTGTGTAGATGTTTATGTATTTACAGTTTGACATACCATCAAGCACTGATTGCCTCGTAAGGTTTTCTCCCTTGCTCCTTCCTTCCTGCCGGGAGGTAGAGAGGAGCAAATACGTGAAATACTTGTGGTGTCCTCTTCATAGTACTTCCCTGCTAATGCATTTCAAATACCAGTTCTCCTTGCTAAGATGAGGAATGCTTTAAAAGATCTTTTTAAAATTAGAACACGGTATGATCATACCATTAGTCTTAGTATCTTTTTGTATTATTAATTATTCATTTAGAAGTCAAAGTTACATAGGGAGAGGGGGAGACTGTCCCATCTGCTAGCTCACTCCTTAAATGGCCACAGCTTTTCACCTGGGTCTCTCACATGGGCGCAGGGGCCTTTAGCACATTAGAGAGCTGGGCCAGAAGGGAGCCAGCCAGGACTTGAACTGGCACCTCTATGGGATGCTGTTGTGTCACATTGCAGCCTTTGCTGCACCGCAATGCTGCCTCCTCCTCCCTTCCCTCCCACCCGCCATTAAACTTTTGTTTGACAGGCTGAGGTTCAGAGAACAACAAAAGTGTGAGTTCCCATCCACTGGGTAACTTTCAAATGCTGACCAGTGGCTGGGGTTTGGCCAGGCTGGAGCTGGAGCTGGCACACCATCTGGATCTCTCCCGTGGAAGCAAGAACTGAGTTACTTCAGTCACCAACACTGCCTCCTAGAAAATGTGTTAGCAGGATGCT